GGTGCGTTTGTAGGCTCTTGTATTTCAACCGAAGAGATTGCTTTGACATGATCAAGCAACACAAGTTGGCGGTGTGAAGCTGCATGTGCATATTCATCAGCTATCATTCACATAACACCAACCAGTATTGGCGCTAGCTCAAATCATGAAACAAGTGCAAGCTGTATCAACCCAAAATGTTGATCAAACTCGTCCACTGACAAAAGTATCGTACAATCCTGGAATGCATGCTTACAAAGAATGCTCATTGTTGTTGGGAAATTGCGTAAACACTCATGTTGCTCAGCTGGTGATGTATTGATCATTTTGTACTGCTTGTATACTTGTTTCATTACTTCACTTGAAATTTTACCAAGAACATCACAAAACATAGGTCCAAGTTGCGTCTATGCGATGACGCACTCTCTTGCGTTTTGCTGGATAATTATTGCAAGTTGGTGGTTGCACGCAAGCTGTAGTGTAGTATACACTGACAAAAGATCACCTACTAAAAAAACTCAACCATTTTTTCAATGTCACATGCGCACTCTCCACGCGCAAGGTGGAGTCATGTCCGTAATGCTTCTTACCGTGCATAAACACAACGACAAATCTGTAAAAATAATCAAAATAGTGTTAATATAACTAGAATTGTGTTTATACGATGAATGTTGTATCAATTAGGCAAAAACTACATCATCTACCTTTACTTCCAAAGAAGTCAATTATGTTCGATGTAACTCATGGAAACTAGCGAAAAGTTATCGCGCATAACAACAAGTTGTGCATTATAGGCTTGGATGGTCGTGAAATTGACAGCAAACTCCAAACATCAAAAAGCTAATATCAATCCTTTTCAGTCGCAAAGTTACTCTTCTGTTTTGCAAGTATGTTTTTGCTTATATGCAAGCGGCACAATAGCATATCCGCGTTTGGAAACAACGTGTCCAACGTGTTTATTAGTGCAAGTTCTCGATCCATGACAAAAGTTGATGGGAAAACATCAAAATTGTTGAAAATCTTTTTAATCCTGTTGAACGTCCACATGTAGTATTTCTGCTTTTGTCGCAAAAAAAGAAAGCAAAGTTAAAGTTGTTGGCAGTAGCGGTCATAGAAACAACGTGCAGTAAGGGAAGTTCATACTTGTTAGTTTTGTAGGTTGTTTCAAGTAAAAAAACGTGATCAACAGCATACTTATTGCAAATCATCTTTTCCAACGGCGATATAATCAAGATGTGCGTTAGTTTCTTCTCATCGTCCATTTGGATGAAATATTGTGTGCTTCCAGTAGTAGCCAAATTGTCAAGCAACGTAGGAAGGGAAGACCGGATTGCAAGTATTTGAAAGCGCTACTTTTGACGTAAGTTTGAATGTCTTTTACTGTTGCAAGTATCTTTTCATTCTGTTGTAGTGTCGTAACAATTCTACTGGCCGTAACACTAGCACAATTGAGAGTAAGCGATGTTTCTCGTTGGTTTCCTAGGACGCGTTCTTGTGGAGGTGCAGTGGAATGAGCAAGAACTTTGTGGTCGTGTTGGTCAGCTTGGACTTGTATCTCCCATACAATTTGGGGTTGTTTTTCTTCTTTGCCGACTACTCTGTTGTTAATCTTTGCTTTGATCTTGACAACTATTGCTACGGCTGGGTATGTTGCGCTAGATAGTATCTTCATGAACAAACGATTTGTTCCAGTGGAAACACACGAGATTGAGTCTCTTGATAGCTCATTCTTTCTTGTTACCAATCCTACGTATGCGCTTAATCACGACTACGTAGACTTGATTCAACGCATAAGCTTGCACAGCCGATAGCAAAGCGTCCAATGTTGTGTGAAAGATCTCTGATGGTGGAGCGATCTAGAACCATGAATCTGCATCAACATGCATAAGCGGTTGTATGAAATCACTCAACCAAATGGAATCCTCCATGTTGAGTTACAAAGTGTTCTCGTCTTGTTGTCATATGCTTTAGCACCATATCGATCCTGTGCATATCATTCTTTTCTGTCAGTGAACCTACACATGAAACTTTCACACAACTTAGACCTCCGGATGGCAAAGAATTTGACACAGCAAACCCTACTACATTTTGTTAGACATGTACTATGCATTAGAAGGACGACTGAGCAAAACTAGCTAGAACAATGTGATCTGAAGTCCACAAGTTTCAAAGAACTCTAGAGCGACATAACCAATGACGTCGATAAGTTATAAGCATTCCTCACCTGTCAGACCTTCAAGTGGTGTTGCTAGTCCAAAATATGTATTGAGTACCTAGCTTAGAATTAAATGAGATTAGTATAATAAAAAATTATAGATTACAAAAGCAACTTCAATAAGGAATGACAAATGATGGATATGTTAAACAACACATCAAAAAATCCTTACGTAGATATTGTTTCACTGTTGACGGTTGACACAAGGTTTAATATGAACAAGAGGTGGACTTACCAAATGAAGTACAATTTAACTCCGGGAAAGCTTAAGCTGGAACTTCAAAGGATATATGTCATAAAAGTGTAGAACACATCTAGAGGTCTGCAAAATATTGATCTAATGTCTATATAGTTACAATTTACTCTGCTAATTTTCAAACTTAGCATAAGTTGCAATCGTGGTAAAAGTCAAAGCTTTGTATTTAGTTTCTCAAGCTTGCTGGCAAACAACTATTGTTCAAGTAAAATAGAACAGAGTATCTTTTTGCTAAGAAACATAAATCAAAAAGAGCTCCGTATCTCAAATTAGTCTTGAGAACGACGATGCAAAATATCACCTCATACATGATGCAAAATAGAAATGACGCATAACTTAATACGTAGACTCTGACAAACAATCAAGTGTTGTATTTTGTTTTCAAAAACAAACCATAACAACGATCATATATTGTGGAGGTGAGATGTATTTCTACCAAATGGTTAGAAACATATCAATTATATTGCCGAATTTCATTTATATGTAAAAGGTGAGCTGACGAGTGAGATATAGTATATCGACGACTAGCAAATGCATGAAAAAATAAGTGTATTTTGTTACTTAATTCCATGAAAAGACATTTGAGCTATTGATAAGTTAAGTAACATGAGGTGAATAAGGTTTGTACTATCTGACTTGTGTAACAAGATACTGAAACATTCCACTTCTGACTTGATTGAGATTTAAAACACTCGAACTATCATAATCATCCACATATCAATACTCTTCACGTCGGCATCAACAAAGAATGTATCATCGTACTCATGTGTCAATGTGTGTCTATTTTTTCCAATCTTTTTTACAAAGTTTACATTCATTTTGAGTCAAGGTCGAAAGCAATTGAATCTACACAATTTTACACATCATTTTTTGGGACCAATTCCCATTTGATCCTCACCCTTTACGGAAGGCTAGACCATCAATGAATCATGCTTGATGCTTGCATCCAGATCAAGAGTTTACTGAACACACTTCAATGATGCGTCCAACTAATCGTTGCCTACTTCATGCTCGTAATCTTCCTTCATGGTTGCAGACGCGTCACCTGATGTCTTCGTTGTTTCTTGTTTCGAAGCAAAGACATCTTAGAATCACGTCTGCTCCTAAGGACTTCTACCAAATTCAGATTTTTTCGAAAATTGGACCAGGAATGCGACTTTGATGTGTCTTCCTTGTTTCTTGTTTCGAAGCAAAGACATCTTAGAATCACGTCTGCTCCTAAGGACTTCTACCAAATTCAGATTTTTTTGAGAATTGGACCAGGAATGCGACTTTGATGTGACAGGCGTGACTTTGATGTGTCGTCTGCCACCGAAACGTCTTTTGCGCAAAGGGAAAAGAAAGAAAACCCGCAAACTCAAGAAGAACATATTATTTTAGAAGTATTTGCTACTCATCACACAAAAACTATAACACTGCATCTATTAATCAAAGAAGAGCTTATAATAATATGAGTGATAATTAGACCTAAGTGAGAGATAACTAGTTCGCTCCTAGTAGATGCAACACGCTGCATATTGTTGCTAATATTCCGTGTCATTACGATTGTGATGTTTGTATCCACATGAATGTTGGAGAGTATTCAACTGAGTTGTAATCAACTCCCTTTAGGGAAAACTTATAATTGATTTGACTCAATCCTACAATACACGTCAAATGCTTGTGACGGGGTGATTATCCAATACTAATATGGGTAGCAACGGCTAAAGTTTCCGGTATACACATTTTCATGTTCTTGAATTTTAACGCCTACCTTCAACTATTTGTAATAGAGTGTTGTACAACCTACCATACTAGTACACTTGGGGTGTTAATAACTTTAGTATGACGTGTCGAATATTTAGAGCAGTGTGTTACATTGTTCGGAATAGATTAATCAATGAACCGGAGAGACATTGAAACTGAGATGAGTGTATCCTAAGGTAGATATATTTCTTAGAATGGCTCTAGTTTCACGTAAGAGATCTGACTATATTGTTCAGGTAACTCACGAGTGGCTAAAATGTTTCCCACCGTGATGGTATTCAGACCTGACCCCGTCATGTTCCCTCGTTTCATAATTCGACCTTTAGGTGAGTTCCTGTCTTCTTTCGGTGGCCGATTTAAGTCTTCACAGTATTTCCTACTCTCGTCAATCCCCGCAGCCGACGATGAACTCTCCATCTGCCAGTGTTTCTTGCGATCCACTTGTTGAACTGTTTGTCTTGGATAGTGAGTTCTTCTTGCATCTTCTCACGCATTGACGATGCAGTTGTCGGAATGCGTGGGGATGTGTTATCAGGCTTCGAAGACGTCTTTCCCCAAGCCACAAAGGACGAGGTTTGTAGGTCTGGACCACGTCCCTCCCTTACTTAAACAAGGTCTCACGTACTACCGTCTTGCATAACGTTGGCTCGAGTCTTGACCTGTGTCGAGAATTCGTCCAAAAATTGCTTACTTTATTTTAATTCTATTCTGGAGCCTCATAGTTCACGGTCCATCTGGATTCGTCGTGGCATTCATTCCTCGAGTCCTAATTCATAATCGATTAACAATTAATAATCCTAATTCATGTCCTGTTCGAAACTGTGTATCAGTACGGACTGTAACGAGGAATATCGAGATTGCAGAGAGTCTTTCTGATCAGCTTCCATGATGGACACAAATCATGACAACATTCTCTTCTGCACTCTGCCAAAACGCAGAGAGACAAGAGTCTAAGGAAGTGTAAAAACTCTGGCCTTCTTCAATGACTATACTAGCCAGTACTATGACGCTTTTATACATTTTTCTAATCTTTATCGGCAAAAAAACACCCTCGATGACTCGATGTTCATCTTTCAATGCCCAAAGCCTACCAACAAATCCAAGATTCTTCAGGTTTGCAAGCTTGAACCTGTGCGTCTTCTTCACAGCGGAGTCATAGCCTTGCCCAACGACCTGAAAAATTTCGCTGCTAAGTGAGAATGAACATATGACTGCCACTGTCACCGCCCTCAAGCGATCGAGTGGTGTACTCTGGTGGAGAGAGTCCCAATCTTGAGATACTAATCTTGTTTAGGCCGAATCTTGATATGCTCAGAAGACTCAACTCGACAAAGGTATCTAGTATGATTTCGAAAGATTCTGCTGCAGCTGCGGCTGTGCTTATACATTGTGCTCAATCCTTCGATTGTCGGAGTGCCTGCAAAACCATCATTTTCCGGGGAGAGGGCGTCTGTTCTAACAAAACCATCCGTCGCTGCCGAAGGCAGACGAAAAAATCAGATCTGCTATGTACATCAGAGGATGGAGACGAGCTGAAGCCGCGAGTTCCATTCAACTCCACTCAGCACATGTAGTACATCCATCCTCCGAGATAAACATCTGCGCCGCTTGAAACAAAATCGAGGAGCGACAGACTTTTTCTTCTTCGGGCCGGCCTACACTCTCAATTTGATCTCGAGGTCATTCATATCACGGAGGGTAGAGACTCATCGATGAATAAGTTCTTGACCTTTCCTGGCAGCTACCTACTCGAGTCTGGCCACCGAACCATGCTTGTAGCGAGGCTTCCATTTACTGTGGAGCTTGTTGTTCACAAAGACGCCGAACTCGTTGAACGCGAGCGAGTCAATCGCTCGATGGCTCTCGCAGTCGACGGGGCCGGTCCGGCAGGTGAGCTGCAGCTCGATAACTCCCTTGCAGTCCCAGTAATTCACATCCAGCTTGCGCGCAAACAGGCACCAGAGATTCTGAGTCTGCTTGGGGATTTGCAAGTGGTAGACGCTACCTCTCGTCACGTTGATCAGATATAGCTCTCCCGGCGGGCAGGAGAAGGTCACTTGCTCGTTCGATTTGAACTTGTTCTCTACTCTGATCCTCGAGCCTTTCGTAACCCATCCCTGATACGCGAGAGATCCGATCAGAGCGGCCGCCAGAATAATCTGAACTAATGCAAAAGTTTTCCTCATCGTTGAATCTCTCCCCGTCTCGCCTTGCGTCAACTTTCCTCAGTGCAATCCAGTCCTCCCTTCGCCTCCCGGTCAGATGTTGAGAAGCCTGCAGCGCGAGAATTCTAAGGAATCGAACGACGAAATATCATCACGACGGGTCGGCGTGACCTCGAGAGTCTTGGCTGGTCTTCCTCTGCTGGCACTGTGGGACGGACACCGGTGCCAAGATAACTCAGCTCGCCGATCAGAGCTCGGTCTTGGCATTCTTCTCTCCCGCGTCCTTGTGTCCGGGCAGCTTCTTAATTTTGGATGACTCCAGCAGCCGTCACCACCAACTCAGACGAGCTCGTCTGGAGTTCCACCCAGCTTAGCCATAGACCACTGACCACCACTTCGATGATAATGACGACGAAGGTGACGATTCAAGGATCTCCAATACGACGCTCAGAAGGAGGAGGATTTAAAGAGAAGCTCACCTCTTCTTCGTCAAACTTGCCATTTCCACTCCGGAATCCAGAGCAAGGGACTGAGCGCAAACTCCGCATTCCGAAGCCAAGCTCGACGACTTACTGAAAGCTCCCGGCTGAAAGCAGCTGCAGGAGGTCGTGCGGGGCCTGCATCTGCTTTGCCTTCGTGCCGGGCCCAGCACAGCTTCGCTCTCGGTGCAAGTCGCCTGGGCTACACCCGGAAAAAGCATGAACCCGAAGGAAGAGACAAAGCTCGCACAATCGCCCGCTCGCTGCCAGTGGCACTCGTGGAGCAAGTCGACAAGGCTCAGAGCGAGAGCCCGAGCGCAAAGCAGGCCACGTGGTCCATCGAGAAGACAAACGGGATGTGTGACCCAACAGGCTACGGATGGAGCTATGGCGTCCGGGCTCCAGACTGGCTCGGGTGGCCGAGGATCTCATCCGCTATGGGATCCACCAGCTGTCGGCCAATCCATAGCCTCCCTCGAGGCTTCTTTCGTGAGTGTGCGTCACAGCACCTGTCCGCTTTCTAAAAAAGGCCCTCCTCGGGAGCTCGTGTCGTAATTGCTGCTGGATAAATGTGTGCATTACCTCTACAGGGTAGAAGCGGCAGGAGGACAGAAAGGACAGGCCCATCCGTACTTGATGTGGTGCTCAGGCAGTAGCACCCGTCTTCATCTATAGCTTCTGTACTTGCTTGATCGAAACGAAACGGAGAGACAGTTGCGAGTTGAGTGAATGAAGGAAGAATTCGGAATGACGCTACGGCCTTCGGAGGCCACATTGCTAAATACAGTGAAGTCAAGTAGGACCGTAGGGGGCCTGAGATCGCACCAAAACGACAGAAGTGAGAACCATACTACTACATGTACAGTCTGTACTGTATTGCAGAGGTAGACGAAGCTTCCTCTTCCACTTCGATTTCAACTTCAATTCAGATCGTAGGACATATTTATTTCCCTGTTGTGCCTACTGGTGCCCAGCCCCATGTCACTCGCGACTCAATGGGGTATTCTAAACCTTTTTGGCAGATTACTTCGCCCCGTTATATCGGTCTACATTTGCAGCAGGCGTAAGAAAGTAAATCGTTGGGAAGTTGGAAGGGGCTGGTTCGTGTCGACGTCTCAGATCGGAATCAGGAGCAGGGACAATGGGACATTCACATTATATTGCTGCGCATATAATGTGAATACCGTAATAGCATCCTCGTGCACAATTCTCATGACAGTATCATTTTCGTGCAACGGTACAAACGTGTCGCTTGCGTGTTTCTTGTACTGACTATCTGTGGGACGATCGATTGAGCTCCAGGTGAGGTGTTTTTTCAAGGATGATGGGCTCATGAAGATGTGTCCTTTGTTTGACTCGGCTTTACACACCAACTCTCATATTCTGCGCTGGCGATGGACAAATACACATTGGGGGCGTAGGCACGTTGATGCAGGAGATATTTCATTGAATCTAGTTAGGTAGACCGTTGATGTATAACGTACTTCATACTTTCAGTGGAAGTTTTATCTTTCTATACACTTCTCATATCCATCATCATGAGTGCTTTGTTCTGAAGTGGAGATAATAGAGTATAGGAAACAACCTCTGACGATGTTTGTCGTGAGTTTTTTTTATGCTTCTTTGGTCATAATGAATGTTGTAGATTTTGTAATCGGATTATAATATAAAAAATTAAACATATAAATATTAAAATGTAATTGTTTTAGATACGTTAAGACTTTCCCATATGTTATTTACATATAGGAAAGTCTAATTATCTTTCACTCTAGCCTAATGCTCCGCATTTCCCTATCCTCTCGAGGACTATATTCCACTTTGGGTCTTGTCTTTGCAAAGTAACGAACAATCACATAACTTTGTATAGTATGGTGAAAGATTTAATCTAAACTGAGTGATAATTAGACATTCCTATAATAAATTTCTTTTATCAACACTGAAATTCAATAATCAATGTATGAATCGAATCACACATAACGTAAACGTAAACGTGTGCTAAGTCGATGTTTATAGATATATTTATCAAATCATCAACCTAAGAAGACTGTTATGAATGGTGGATATTAGATTTTATTATATTCACTTTCTTGAAGATTTATTAAAAAACGATCAAAGAAGTTAATGAATCTTTCATTTTTAGAATTCTAGTGTTAGTATATTACATATTTTTTCCTCCCAAACAATATAATGTAAGACATATGAAGTTGTCCTTTGATTATTTCAATATTGAATTTCATCAAGTAGGCTTGTAAATCAAGACGTTAATGGTTAAATGTATTTTAAAAAGTTTGATTAACTTACATGATTTTTGATGATCTCTAGCTTCAAGAGGTATGTAGTATTTCGAATAAGACTTGATTCTCATTGATATTTCCTCTCATCTTTAGCTTCAAGAGGTATGAATGACATCAGTCCATCATGCAAGGCTTTTTGACTCAAACCATTAACTGTAGTAAGTCTTGGCTTGATTATCAGATAACATCTCCAATACTCACTGATGAGTGTGAAATCACTTTAGCTATCCACGATCCATAATGTCTAAAGTGTTTGCTCTTGCACGAGAGTATAAATATTTCCCATCGAGTCAGGTGTAGTATGACTTGCAATTGACTAGAGATTTTTTAAATATATGTATATATATATATATATATTATTCACTTCGGGAATACCTTGTTAATACTACGGAAATTACCTATATCAGGAAAGCAGTCACATGAGTGATGCTTCTATAAATGCTCTCCGGTATGGAAACCGTTCACCTAGAAAGAAAGTCCAAATATCTAGATGTGGTAGGACATATTTAGTGCGGTCATACTATTGGGGCGTAACCCCATGCTATCACTGTGGTTTCATCCTTCTTTGTCCTACTTGATGTTACTGTGTCCTTTTGTCTACTCGATATCACTTCCTAGCTTTTCCTTTTCTGTTCACTTTCTCGAGCACAGCTTACTTTGCAACTTGGGTGTGTTGGTGAAGCCGTTGACATCTGAGAGTTATGTCGTGTTCATGATTAGGCGACTATCGTTTGCGTTGGCCATCTGATGCTCGTGGATATTTCTGGATCATCTTAGAGACAAGCAGCTCCTGCGCTTTGCGTACAGTTGGCGTGGTCATTGTCAAATGTGAGGAGACTCAGGTTTCGAGCTCCGAAGCTGTGGTACAATCATAGAGCAGTACGAACCGATTCCCCCAGCGGATGTACAAGGAGAATTCCACTTCGTTCGTCCACAAGCTTTTTTGTCGGTGTAAAATTTTGCTGCAAAATTGTTGTGGTCACACTGTCGAGCACGAGGTTTACTTACGTGAGGCGATGCCATGTCTTTCATTCTGAGTGTTGCAATGCAGGGATGATCTCAGGCGCAACTCCTTATTGTGTTTGCTCGAGATAGTTCGAGGCTTTTTTCTAGTATTCTTTTAGTTATGTTGCCCAATTATCGTAACAGCAGGTGGAATCTAGGGAGTTGTTTTTCTCAGCCTTCACGAAAGTGGCGTGATGTCATTTTCGAATATGAAGAGGCAGGAAGGAACAAAGCGAGTCAGAGGTCTCACTCTTTATGGGCAGAACACCATCAGTCCAAGGGCCCATGATGCCCAGAAAGAAGCCTAGGATAGCGAGAATATGGAGCGACCTTTTGGAAAGTTATACGAACTGGCCTGCCAAAGCTGCTTTCGAACATGCGGGTGAATCATTGGACAAAGTCATGTCCATGTTTGTACTTGTATACTCTTTTCTCTTTACAAAGTCAAGAAGGTATCGTGATGTTTTATACATCATTACTTGTAAACATGCATGAAAAAATAAAAAATTATTATGGTCTGTTCGACTCTCGTCTTTTTTGAATTATTCGATTTACTTTTTAAGAAATTATGTGAAACATATTTACATGATATCGTTGAGGAACAACAATAAGAAATATGATACAACATCCATATATTCCTACAAGTATACAAGACACGAAAAACACGCAAATGTATTGAGGTCGACTCCATTACCATATACAATCCCGCCCGTTAGGAAATTGCTCGTCATATGTGGAGCTTCAAAAGCTGCCGATTTCTTCGAATATGCGCGGTTTATATTATGCTTAGTCACCCACGGAGAGTGAAAGGAGAAAGGTGACCAAACAAAGGCCGATTCAAAATCGGATTCACCACTCTCGCAAACCTTCATCTATGTTCAAACTCATTTCATGACCAAGTGGAGATGAAACTCACCATTGCTTGATTGCAGAGCTACTGTTGTGCGGGGAATGTTTCTCTTGGCTCTGCGCATCTCATCAGATGAATGCACCCTTCATACACTTCACTGGGTGTACACATAGTGACTGTCTATCACAAATCTTTCAGTACAAATAAAGAAGAACCATATCACCCATATCCTAGTCATGGTGATCCAAATAAGCAAGAAAAAAGGAGAACGTAAGGCCATGAATTCCTTGATAGAGGTTTATCTGAAAGGTAGTGAAGGATATATTCTAGTGAGCCAAAGGAAGGGGCAGGCTGCACTAAAGAAAGATCGGATTGTATGCAAATGCTGCGTCCTTCACCACCACAGCCAAGCAGCAAGGACGGAGGCAGCTATCAAAGGATCAATTTATGTTGAGATTCATTCCAACTCCCCATTTGGGGCAAAATTTTCTTTTTAATCCGTAAGCTTCGTGCCTATTTGGCTACTTTAGCAGTCAGACACAATATCATATGTGCTACTAACTATACTGGCAATATGTCACACGATCTTAACATCTGCTTAAAACCGCCAAATCATAAGACTCGTTTGTCTTTCTGACTTGTCCCTTATTTCTCCAAGTTTTCATCACCAGCAGACAGTATGAACATTTCTATTGTAACCTTGCCAATTAAGAGCAATTGCTCTCCCCGACCCTGAATCAACATCTCTCATACATCGCTGGAAGATACCAGATGATCTCATCTATATCAGTAAGTTCATGGTCGCCTGCATCTATCTCTCTCTCCCTCTCACTCCCCCTGCCTCCCATCTTCCTTCCTTTCTCTACATAAATAAATATACCACTAAGAGCTCACTTTGGTCTTGTGCAGTGCCATGCATAGTTCGCATCTATTTGCTGATCAGGGCTCATGCAAATCAGGTTAATGATTACTTAAAGTCCGCCATCCTATCCTATTCAATTCTTAAATTAACTAGTCATATCTGAGGTCCCTTCTTCCGCGCGTTAAAAGAAATAAGGAAATAAATAACACAGCTTTTAAGTAGAACCATTGAAATCAGAGGTTGATGTGCAGCTACGAGTATTGGAAGTTTCCAGGAAACGTCCTCAGGTTGGACCATTGATCACATTGTATAATCCGCCTGCAAGAGAACTCAGCATGAGTCGAGTGACATTATATGGCTCGTCGCTTCGGAGACATCCGATAAAATTGGAAAGATACAGAGAAGATTAGCATGCCCCCCGCGCAAGGATGACACGCACAAGTCGAGAATTGGTCCAAATTTTAAACCTAGGAGCTTCGATGAAGTAGAATGGTCCAACTTCTTCTTGTACTACGAATAACACTTTTGAATGGTGTCTTGCGTCATTAGACAGTAGCTCACGAGGACAGAAAACTCGTCTTGTGGACCCCGTGTGCATGGACTTGAAGTATATATTAAATGGAAAGTCGATGAAGGTTGATATCGTAGCACTACGGTACACCTTTTAGTTGGGGAAAAAGTCAACATCTTTATGTCTTACTGCAGATCTGACATATGCCAAAGCAAGTGGAAACTGCCATCGTAGAGTATTCTGATCATGATAATTCTCAGAGCTCCTTTTCCGAGGTCCAAGGGAAACGATTCTGTCCATATCAGCAACGAGGATGAGTTACATTCTGTACAATTAAAGAACAAATCCTCAAATTGCGCTTGATAGAGTGTGGTTTCAGTTCAAGCTTGTCATTATTAGACTGACAGCTGGAATGTTTTACTTCTGACAGGAGTCTGCAAAAGGAGTCTTGTAATATCTCTCAAAACTGAAGGTTTTCTAACGCCGCTGCTTGCAGTTGAGTGCATATTGAAAGAGTAGGTACATGGATTAGCTCATGTTTGTAAAAACCCAAATGACATCAACTCGAGCCGATCACATAATTTCCTTAATTTCGATTCTTCAGGAACTTTAGTTACATACTGTGCTTGATTCGCAGCATTTTAAAACAAGGACGGAGGAACAGTTTAACCAAGACCCAGTGGAAAACCAAAAATGTAAGCAGGTTACATCCACGTACATCCTCCTACAATGTCAGGGTCGTTCATGCCCGTCTTCACCCCTAACGTGCCTGACATTCATGGTATCATTTGTTCAAGAGCCAATTGATCGTATAGCCCAACAGTTTCAACCTCCGTCCCTCACAGTGACTCCATTTAGAGGAAGTCGCCATCCAATCGAACCAGCAAACTATTGTGAAGATTTAAAACCAATATCCATGTTCGCTGGTTGCACACATCATATGGTGTAAAAGAAAGTAATGAACTAAAAGGATGTACACACGACGACAGCACATGTGTAACCAGACACGAGAAAAGCAAACGCTTCGTGGATAAAGGAACATAGGTCACAACGACTGGGAGATATGATGGCTCAAATTTCTTAGTGGTGACAAACTACAGTAACGCCCGCTTTAAAAAACTGCAATGTTGAGAGTCACCGTCGAGACCAGGAAGCATATGTATTACACAAGTGAAATTTATTCAAAGACAACGACAGATCTTCATATAGGCTAAAGAGCTCCATGTTACAAAGACTCCACCATAATCACTAATATGCTGAAGCCTATTTCTGCACAGAAAAGTTCTCCTAAAGTTTCTCTTGGACTTCTTCAGATTTACTTGACGAGCCCAGGGGGATAAGTATCGGTAGTATGGTAGCCATAAGCCGACCTACCCCTTCATCCAATCTGAAAGGGTAAGGTGAATCCACAGTCCGCATAGAGACTCTCAAGAAGTAGTATCGCCTTCATGGTAAATTGCAGATCGCCAAAATCACAGCGTCCCTATCTCTCAAGAGTGAGGAGACTCTCGGTTGTGATAAATGGCAGACGCAACACTGACAGGTGAATTGGGATCACGACGTGCCTTTTCTCCTCCAATCTCCTTTCTGGGACGAAGGATAAGAGTTCGAAGATGCTTGGTCAGTTATACCGAGAATAATCAACTTAGAAAGAATTAGCGTGGACATGTGGAAGTCTCAATAACATAAATGCCTCCATCTCTCACCTATGCAACAACTTGCGCTAATCGTCAATATGGAAGACACAGTACATCAATTAAAGCTCCCATAGATAAGGAAACAAAATATTGACAGCTCTTTTGTTCAGATGGCACTGTAGGAAATCGCAAAAGAACTACCTTGTGAAAAGACATCCGCCAGTTTCAGATAAGACAATGTTTGCATGTGGGACAGCATGTTGACTGCTGAAGCCACCGTCGGATACACAAAGGATGGAAAGTATGGACGCAAGGTAAAGTTAAGGCCTCTTCGCCATTCATAATCTCGGCTATGCACACAACACAAACATCGACACCCTCCTCATTGTCAACACCTTCAGTTGTCTCCTCTGCCTTCTTGCCCTTCACGGTGTGAACGGGAAGAGCAGCTATTACCTCCTCGGGTACTCCAACATGAACTGTACACCAGCCAGATCATTAGTTTGTTTATAAAAAGGACCAAGATATAAGAATGGGGTTGATAATCAGCACATATAAATCCAATCTTTTCGAGATACGGTATGACTCTTTTTATCGTTTCTTGAATCATGTTTTTCCATACCCACCGTAGGACACAGTTGTGATTAGTTTTCATTGCCTCTACAATGGGGAACCGCAGAACGAAACAATCATCAAGGTCTTACTGAGCTGCCATTTCCTTTTCTTCCAGTAAATGCAGCAATCTGCTCAATTAGGCAAGGGACAGCACATTCCAATTTCAGATAATCAAGGCAGGTCCAGAATCGCATGACTGATGTCATAGACTGGACACTGCATTCTGGAGCCCGTTTTGGATGTTAACTCTTCACACACTAGAATAACAAGCAAAGAGTAACGTAAATCCTCCTCTTTACTTACCCCGACCAATGCTCTCTTCGAGTTCCATCAGCTCCTCATATGTGAGGTCCTGTCGCTCATGTGGATAATCTGCCAACTGTCGAAACATTCCAACTACATTGTACACCTCATCATCAATGTCCGGCACGTATCGTCGACGACGATGGGTTCTTCTGCCCTGTCGTACCATGCCTCTAGTAGACATCTTTATGAGATGCACAATTCCTCGAGGGACAAGTCCGGCTGAAGCAAGAAACATACGCAACCGTCAGTTTACAGAAACAAGATGCACCGTTCTTCACTCATCTTAGGTCCATACTAGTAGATACAATTAGGGCAGGAAGGAGCCTACCCTCTTCAAGAGTAGCTCCCAGTTCTTCACCTTCCACAATATGTGACCCTGGAATTGGGATAAACTGCATGAACCAAAAATAGGAGTTTCTATTAGAGCGTGTGATTGATATCAGCTGCAAAACCTGAACACAAAGCCCAGAGACGTTTCTCTCCTGATAAAATAATGACTGAACTAATGTATTTGCTAAGTGGTCATTAATTGAGTCAAACATACAAATTAGTCGACGAACTGACGCTTATACTTTCACTTCTGTCTTTTCGAACACTAGCACCAGACCAGTACTTGTGAACGAATAAAGAGGAAAGAGTTCCAAAGTGCCATACCGGAAAGTTATGTAACGTAAGGAAAGCAGAGACCAAAGAGGAGACGCTAACATCCCTCCAGAATGATCTCCGCTAAGACGTTCTCTTTCTATATTAGCAAACTTCCAGCGGCGAGACTTAACTCGAGGCAAGAAAGTATCTCAGCTGGAAAGCAGAAACTGAAAGCCTTGTTTTATACGTCCAAAAGGAGATAAAGAGACTTAATTCTGAAAAATGCATCTTACTCATTGTGTTTCCATAGAAGAATATTGGCAATCACATGCTATGGTGCCTTCAGATGCTGTGTCGAGCACTTTGACTGGCCTCAGCTAACCGCATCATTATGTCCGCATTAGAATCAGATGGTAATTCCAGTGATAATCATCATCGTCCGAGTCAAAACATGCCCTCAATACCGTCGAAACAAACGACAAATGTACATACGTGGAGAATGTGTGGGGGAAAGAAGCAGAAAATCAAACCAGGCATATGACATCAGCTCACTAACCCATATGAGGTTCTGATGATAGCATAGACCTCCAGCGAGGAAAAACGGAATGAACTCTCGCAATCTAAGCAAGAACAAATGAGAATGTTTCTATGATGCTAAAACCGGATGGAGGAGGCAAAACCTTCCGTTAGCTTTCTTCTATTCTTATAATGTTGAGCATTCCGACCAGTAACTTGAATGAGATCAGGGCTAAAATGCTCCTGCGAATGAAAAACCTACGTTCACTAACGTAAAAGCCTGCAGGATCCACGAGCACCAGCTCCAAGCAGATTGAAAATGCTACCTTGTCCAGGGCAGGCAAGCACCATTCAAGTGCATGTTAAATTATGTGCAAGTTCATCATCACTTGCGATTAAGTGATATGTCGAGCACCTTGACTGGCTTCAGCTGACCGCATCATTTTGTCCGTATTAGAATAAGATTGTCATACAAGTGATAACCATCAGCTGCCGAGTCAAAACATGCCCTCCTTACCGTTGTTAAGGTTCTACATTACCGGAGAACTTAGCACCTGATACGAAGCAATTCAGTGATTTCCGAATATCCTCCGTGCCGAGGTTGACATAGCAGTATGAGTAACTTCAAGAGTATAAACTTTCTAAAATCAAAACTGTCTGGGCAGTGCATTGGCAGATGGAAGTCAATGACGTCAGATTTAACAGCAAATGTTTTCTAAAAGCCCGTAAGAATATCAGCTAAACCATGAGAAAGTAGTGTTAAACGGGAGCAGAAGTTTCAAAGGAAGAAATTATTTTGATCCACGCTCTAGAAAATCTAAAACAAGCATTCATTCGTAAGTGCCGGCAATCGATTACTGGAGAAATCTAAGAGCAAAGATAGATCAAACTCTACTGCAGCACGCTGCCAGCGCGTTCTACATGACTATTTGGTTATAGCATATGATGGAATATTCCTGACTTCCTACAAGTTACATTCAACTGCATCCACATACTTACAAATCCGTATGCAGATACTTCGGCTCCCTCAGGTACAACTGAGTCTCTTACAGTCTGCAGCAAGGTGTCTGCAACGAATAGAAACAACATAACAAAGTATTGGTTTGCAAAGAGCGGTGATGATATACATCCAAGTGTTTTAAAATCGTTGCGCTATGCCTAGAATAATGTCAAAAGATGTTAAAAGATGCAGTCATTCCAAATGGAAACAACTTTGGGACCCCAGGAAGAATGTCCATGTCGCAATGTCAGTTGTTTCCTAGATAATAAACACAACCCTCCTAGACAAATCTCGCAAAACGCCTACATAGCAGCGTGATCAGATCAACCCTCGCCTCAGTAGCCATAACCAACTCCTATGTTTTTCACCGGCCTCGGCTTCGAAACCCATAATTGGCACTTCCACAATTCGATATATCGGCTGTCTAAAGACAAGATTTACATGTAAACGTGGATACAGAACATAAGTATCTTCAAAAATCTTACTTGCAGGGAATGAAAGGGTTTGTACACGCCCATCCTCTAGGCGGACTCGCAATGAGCTCTGCCTCTCTGCTTGCGTTTGATGACTAGTGGGAGGTGCAGCCACCTGCGACGACTCTTCATCTTGCACGGGGCCCTTTCCCTTAGCGTTCCGCTCACTGTGGGCATTGAATCTTTCGAGGGCAGCTTCAAATGGGCCCGTACAGCTAGAAGAGACAAACGCACACGTAAAGCTATTTCCTGTTAATTACATACTCTCACAGACACAGTCACCTAAATTTCTACTTTCACCATTCGGCATTGGTCTATCACTTACATGTGCAACATATTTATCACCACTTGTTTATTTTTATTGCTCTTCTACCCATCTATTGGACACGTGTCGTAGAGAGACACCCCAGATACAGTGCCAATTAGCAGTCCTTTTCACAGCAGAAGCTAGATTTATAGAACATCACTTTACTCCCAGCAGCAGATTTGATGTCACTCGACAGATGTGCCAAGACAAACAGGACTGGCACTGACACCAATGAATTAGACATGAGCAAATTTCCAACGGTGACCATTTAGACGGGAAAATACCTTGGACCGGCAAGCTGCGAGTGTGGCTTTGCGGAGCCACCAGGGAGTTCCTCTGAATTTTTGTAAACATCACACGAAGCTGGGGAGCTACTAGGAGAACTACCCGAAGTTCGCTGCAGCTTCTCTGGGCGAGATAGCAGACGTGAAGACAAAGGTACCCGTGCCCTACCTCTCGGTGGTATGGAATCTGAATCTTCCACCCCAATCCTACTCTCTGCTTCTTCCGGTTCCTGCTCGTAGCTACAACCTACAAGATTTGGTTGGCATTGGGACGTCCTGAGACGAGCTTCTGCAGCAGCCATGGTCTGGCGATGTAAAGCATCTAGAGGTCTGTCATGCGGAAGCTTGTCTGATCCGGGGGGTGCAGAAGAGCGCTCTTTCAGTGGAGGAGATGCATCTAACAGCTCTGCATCTGCACCTGCTGATCTCAAGTTATTCAAGTTAAGATCGTCCGCTGGAGCTGCTCGGGCACATTGTTGGGGTGGAGAAAATCCGTTTTGTATTGGTGATAGAAACGAGTATGGATTATCACCATCAACTGGGAAAGGAAACGCGCCTCCAGTTTCGCCTTCTCCGAGAGGAAGACCATCACGAAATATTTTAGCAGCTTCACTCATCCTTTTCGCAGCTGCTTGGAGGGCAAGTTCTCTTACCCTTACACGCTCGCCATCCACGTCCAAGGAGTTTCGGCCACTGTTACTTGCTCCATTCAGTCCCCGGTCAAAAGAGAGAGAAATCCTTTTAGCTTGAGAGGGGGCTTTCACCTGGTTATCCACTGATTTCGAGTCAGGAGATTCTGGCCCAATTACATCAGGCTGCACAGCTTCTGTACAGTTTTGACAATCATCAGAACTTCTGCTCGGACCAACTCTGTTATCTGCTTTGTTCGACTCTTCCACATCAGTGGATGAATCCTTCGCCTGAACCTGAAAAATGTTCGTCTGTTCTGTGTCACTGTTCCGAAACTGCACAACCAAAGTGCCCCTAGGAACCAACTGTGCTTGGGCCAGGGTTGATTCCATAGCAGATTCTGCCAAAGCAACAACGACATGCAATGAAAGCTTGTACGGAAATAGAGGTTGGATCTCCTTAATTGTGATAGCAGAAAACCGACAATGAACACGAACATACGCAAAAACTTAAGTCATACGAACACTAACCGGTGAAATATTCTTGTCGAGGTATCGGTATAAGGAAGTACATGGTCCCCCTAGATTGATTATCCATTGGGTCAGGTGCCATCGTATTGTTGCGAAGAGTCTTCGCAGAAGCTAATATTCTGCTTGTTTGGTACTCAAAATTTTCTCGTGCAGCTTGCAGTAGCACCCGTTCAGCCTGCCTGCAAAGATCGATTTCTCACCCATCTCAACTGATTTTCTTGCTGCAGCGACATGCATCACATATCTGAAACTACAATATACCTTCACGACACAAAAACCCAAATAAAATGATACCCGCAACTTAAAGCGGAGAATAAATGCAGGTCACACTCATACCCGACCGCTCACCTGTCAGCAGAGAGTCGTGAAGATTGGCCGCTGAAAGCCACATGCCCCTGGCGAAAGGCACCTGATTCTTCTTGAGAGTCCAGTGAAGTAGGTGGTCGTTGTAGCTGGCTTTCCACGTATGCTCTAACCTCTTTCAGAGTGGTAACTGTGAGGGGATAGCAACCCATGAAATCAAGTGCGTCAGATTTGGAGACCTAATGAAGAGGAGGTATATAGAACCTGAATGCAATTCTCGATTCTACTTCACTACAACACTCGTGTTTCTCTAACGCTAGAGAAACACACGATAACAGGCAGTTGCCTGGGTAAATACCAGAAGATCATAATACATCCCAAGCTACATACCTATGCCGCTCCGCCTGGGAGGCACAGTAACGGGGACTCATAGAGTATCTTCAGAGAGATTTCAAACATGGTGACTGCATCAATCATCAATTCTGTTCAACAGAAAAACACATATACCAGGTGAAGCGACGAGATAAGGTTCAAGATAATGCACCTGCATTAAACATTCCCTTGATGATCTGGTTCCCAGGGCAGCGAATCTGAAGTTGTGTTGGTACAGCAGGGTCTACAGCTGATCCAGCTGGCGTACTTTGACCGAAGGGTTGCTTTCCAAGATTCAAACCCGATCGGACGTTGTCTGTTGGAGCCATCATAGTGTGTCTGAAGCGACGATGTGCCATATCTTCCTGAAGTTGTTGACGGATTTTTGCTTTCTCTGCCTCTTTCTCCTGCAACGAAGGAATGGCGAAACTAACGAGGTTAAGCATTTAGGTTAGCAAGCCCTTCGGCTGCGATCTCTCATTCTAAACCTTCAAATCCTCTAGGAGAAGAAGCAAAATTGTTTCAACATGTAGAATGCGCAAGTGATGTGAAATGTAAACAGGTCAGAGAAACCTTCGAAGCCATCCAGATACGAGACATGATACAGGAAAAAACCACGGCGAGGCAACTTTGTAAGATGGTGGTCTGTCAGGTCCGTCAGCGAGAATTCAGCTTTTGGTTAAGGACGTACACGTTCAGAACACTTTTGAAGAGACATCGCTCGCTGGGTATAGTAAGTAGTAAATTACAAACATAACACATCGACACAAAAGTACCTGCTTGGCCCGCTGAGCTGCAGCGTAACGAGACTTCCTCTCTTCAGCAAAGGCGTCCGGAACGACAGCATCGGTACTCTCTGAATTTGCCGAATTTCTACTTGTACCTGCTCCTCTTGCGGAACCAGGGCGGGTATCATCAACACATGAGATACTACTAGTCGTCGTGACGCGATCCAGAGGTTCCTGTAAGGCCGCTCCGTTTCTGCCACGAGCAACTGAATTGTGTACCATTACAGGTGCATTTGCACCATTCCTGGGAAAAGGAGGTGTTGGGGATTTTGACATGGTCGACTCCTGCACGTCAGATGGACCATCCAAAGATGAAGGACTAGAAGATGAAGTGGATGGCTGCAGGGTAGAAGATGGAGACGGGTCAGCCTCGTTCCCAACGACTTTCGGATCAGACGCAGGAATCGGAACGAGTCTCAGAGTGGGTCTAGAAGGACTAGGTCCGCCCTGAAGTTGAACATTCGCCCCAGATAACGAAGGAGATGGAGGAAGAAAATGAGGAGTCCCCTGCGCCTGCCACTGTAAGAGGAGATCCACCGCCGTTTCAATGCCCGAGGCACTGCTCAGAGCCCTCTCACACCAATCGCTGGGAAATCCCATCGCCTCTAGAACGTCTGCCATCTTCCAAAGTTGATAAGTTCCAAGTCAATTCAGCACCTCTCCAATGAGAATTGCTCGCAGTCAAGGAAGTTCAGAGTATTCCTGTCGAGTTCCATTGTCTGCAAAAACATGTTCCATACAACTGCGGTCAGGTACGAAATTCTGTGATTAAAAACTCGAATTCATTCAGCAGTTACGCTTGTGTGTATGTATTTGCAAATTTCCACAAAAGGGCCACGGAAAGACCCAAAAAAACTCTTGGAGCCGAATTTCCTGCCCCTTATTACAAAATCAATACTTCATTCAAGTGCGCGAGCACGAGGATATCTGCACAGTCCGAATTGTTTGATAATCCCCCCGAGCGGACGCACAGCGAGCGTTAAACTAGAGCGTTGGGGAAACAACGACCAGGCGTAACAGCAAAACAGAGAGTGTCACGGCAGAGGAGGCGGCACGCATGGGGAATTCCAATGGGCTACGCGTTGTGACAATTGTAGAGATATACCCCCAGTGACAACAAAGTTGTTCTGACACTCCTCATCATCAAGGTCAACAAGCATAATAAGATTCCAGAAATCCATAACGCACTCGCTCATGCTCTTCACGTGCGGAAGAGACCAGTCCCTGATAAGAAGAATGACATATTCCATCTCCGATGCAAGCTTAAAACGCAAAGTTTTCTGTTAACTAGCAGCAATTTCCACTCCGCAACCCTCGCTCGCGCACCTCACTTACAGAAGGCTCGCGTGGCTAAGAAGTCCATTCCCCAACGACAAATCGACCTCTGATGCGACCTTAATCCTCGATATGCACCGCAAGTTTTAACAGACCTGGCACCAGCTTTAAATAGATGGCCCCGTCGATCATGAAAATGCGCACAATTTTCTACCTCCCGAAACTGCAATTTCTCGAATTCATGACCTCTCGCGTGCGACTCGCTTACGGGGTCCGGCCCGCCCTCTCCCCGTCTCTCTCACCCTACAGTGCGGGGGAGGACAACAGCTCATCGATTCAGCAGGACACATATCACGGAGATGAGTGACCTTCCTCACCCCGTCAGCCAACAGCTCAAGGTATCGCCCTGGTACATTCCTAGCTTCTTCTCCTCCTCCTCCTCCTCCTCGTCCCTCCGCCTCCTCCGCCATACCCAAAAGCATTCCTCCCCCCCTGCCCTCCTTTTCCCTGCAGCCCCCCACCTCTCAAGCCCCTCGGCGATTTCTTTCTTTCTCCTCATGCGCTTTGACCTGCTGGACATGACATGAAGGACTCTTTGACTGCCGAGCCAAGCTGCATTAGCCGAGTCCTTCGCTCTTCCTTCCTCCATCCATGCCTCAGCGCTATCCCATCACAATTTGTCTGCCAAACGACACTTCCACGTCTGTCCATCTGTCTATCGCAATGTCTACTTCATTTACTAGATACCAAAGATAATGTCTTCTACTTTGCATTGAATCTGCCGTGAATACTCTCTTCGATGATTTTAAGCATCATCTATTGAATCTATGCTATTAAATAAACCCGACGACGTGATCTTTTAGCTCCTACATTAGTTAATATAACACCTTCACATTCTTTGATTTTAAATTACTACATATTTTTGTGCAAAACCTACAAATGATGGATGTCAATAGATTTCAAATATATAAGAAAAATCTGCTCGGTCAGAAGCAATACATGTCATTTTTTTTCAAGTGTGTCAATATATCAGCGAATAGCAACTCGTTTTGTTTCTAGTTGTTTTGCTTTCAACTTCGGATCTTACTCCTTGTTTTCAGAGTGTTTAATTGTGTACTTTGTTAGAAACCTCCTAGAAGTCCTTATCCATGGTTTCGTCCTTGTACAGAAGTTGCACCACACAGTATGGTTTGTGGCTCCTCTGGCCTTACACAATGGAATCTTTGAGTAAACAGAAGCACCAAGCAAAACCCCCTTCCTCGATCAATCAACTCAAGCTCAAACATTCATTTAAACCGCAATAAATTGTCTCACGTGAGCGCCTAAGGCAGCTTTTCTAGACTGCCAATTATTCCATCGCAGATTACCTGTTCATATGTTAGAGAATATCAGATTGAATCAGTAATTTATAGTGAAAGTTATGAATGTAGGGTACGTTATTGATGACGGAAGGTGATAAACTAGTCAACATAACATCACTGGATCATGAATGACGCGTTTCGTCAAATCCGGACATTGCGGTATGAAATAAGAATTTACATCGCTATGTCTAACACAATAAATGAGTAACCCATATGGGGCATGAATCTTTTGAAAGCTGGTGAATGTTCCAATATTTCATTATGTTACCGATAAATAGACTACGTCCAAATTACAATGTTTATTTCTTATCTTTCCAAAGTCTGAATGCACTACAAATGATGAGTATCAATTAAGTTATTCTATTTTAATATTTTATTATATTATTTATTTTTAAAATTTTATTTTTTAAAAATTACTAATAATAAAAATGACTCATATCATGATTGTTATTTTCTACATCATGATCATACACTTCAGTCTCAATGAGAATCAATACAATTAATCTATATTGATCACTATATAATAAAAATTTGGTTGAAATGTTCACTTATATATCTTTAAAAAAAATTCCATTTCAATTTTATTTTTTCATAAATTCTTAGTTTATTATGTTGAACATAAATATTAAAATAAATAATATACATCAAGTTTCAACAATATGACCATACAACATAAAATTGTTAAGTGCCAAGATATTTCATTTTGTACATAAATAACATAATATCATATTTTTCAATCTTTCACAACAAAATTTTGTTTTGATCATTACATTTTTCATGTAAAAATCCGATGAATATTTCATTTGCAAAATAATTCATATTTTATTTGTATTGTAGAAAAAATTTCATTTTGAAGATGACGTGTTTCATCTTCGAAGTGTATATTTATATTTATATACTTCATATATAAATTGATGATCTTCAAAAAAATCAACATGTAGAGTTCAAAATAACAGTCAGATGTCATATAAATTTATTATAGATAAATTTTGCATGTGAAATCCCAGAAAATCTTTAGTTTGCAAAAAATATTAGTATTTAATATTATTATTTTAGAAAAATATACAATTTGAAATTGAAACAAAATCTGAGGTTGAAAATATACATTGAATACAATTTCGAGTAACATGCTCATACAAAAATATATTTAAATTCAACATGAGCTTAAAGTGTATTTTAATCATCAACACAAAACATCGTGATTTTTTTAAAAAATATTCAAATTTTTTATAATCTGATTTATTGCAAGAAATTGTATGAAATGTAAATTTTCTATAATTGATAGAAGATGCATGAGAAATAACACCATTGATCATTAATTTAGAACGTAAAAAATCATTATAAATTCTATCATGCATGAAGCACGTCACAATCCATCATTTTAAGCTAGACAGTTATTTTGTGCACACGATATTTTTTCTCAAAAAAACAATCCTGCGTTAGTTTCGAAATTTAATTAGGAAACTTTACAAATCATGTCAAAACACATTATTGTAGATTTGGTTACTACATTCAGATGTGTTTTAAGGATTTTGTTGGAAGATAAATTTATCCAACAGTTTCTAATCCAACATTTCAAAAGAATATTAATGATTTATGGCTATTTGGCTGGTTGAAATCTATACAAAAGAGGATTTGATGGATATTGGAAATACATTTTAATGCACGATTGTCTGAAAATGACTGGTGACTAGCCAGTGAGACAAGGTGAAAGCGTTGATAAGGATATGAATAAATAAACATGGTCATACATAGAGGTAGATATCATGCATAGCTTTGCGCAAATTATAATACAAATTTATATGTGCTAATCTTATCCTATTTTCAGCACTCAAAATATTGCTCCAATTCAAAGGTTGGCCCTCAAAAGCTTACAATACGCTACTTCATTTGCTACTTTTGTCTAATTTTGTTTCCTGCGTTATCTTCTGAACGTTGCCGACTGGCTGTAATTTTCCATGATTGTATTACTCGAACTAGGATAATAAACTGGAATGGAGTTTTTATTTTGATTGACCAGCTTTCATAATATATTTTGCATGACCGTATAAAAGTTTGAAACAGCTCGTATTCAAGTCTTGGAGGGCAAAACAATTCTTTCAAGCACTGCAGCCTTCTTGCAAAACACGTTGACTTAGACACATCCATATGTCAAAGAGCTAACGCATCTTCACACATATAAAAAACTAGGAGATCACCTTGCAGATCGTCGACCTTGCTATTGGGTTGTTGCGCCTAGCAAGCCCATTAAATATGCAGAAAATTCATTAACTGTCTTGCATTTCCTTTGCCACGATGCAATAGAAATCAAACAACTTCAATAAATCCTTCTTACAAGTTTGACATACAGAAACAAAACCAGTTTTCGCAAACAACTACACCTCATGGAGGGGAAACTATTTGTTTTTTCAAGTGCAAGATGATACCAATGGGTTAAAGATCTTAAGAAGAGATACTACCTATTGATTTATTTTGTATTGGGGTTTTTGGATTAATTACAAGTCGAAATATGGTAAGAGCGTTGATGTGTCTTGAATTAATTTTTAATGCTGTTAATATTAATTTAGTAAAGTTCCAAATAGCAAACATACTAATGAAGGTCGTATTTTGTCATGAAGGAAATGAAATTATTAGTGAAGCATGTAAGCGGAGTTTTGAATTGGCTATTCATTTTGAAGTTACCCATTTGTTCAAGGTATTTTCTTTTGGCAATGAAGCACCAGTAACTAGCCGTGCCTTCCGCACCCGCTCGTTACGTTTCCTCTTGGATAACGCACCTGGCGCAGTTGCAAAGAGGAGTTGCGGTATAAGTTTGTTACAAGCACGTGATGAAGGTCTCGATCTTGCTCGTTGAAAGTGAACATTTTGGAAAAAATAATAGTTCGAGGGGATGTTACTAATATAACTTGAAATCGATAGAAAATTCTTTTGAAGAGCTGTTAACTTATCGTTAAACGATTAAATGTAAGTAATTTTCATAAAGTACTGGCATTCTTAGGCTTTTCTAGACATCTTTTACTTTAATGTCAGGCTATCACAGAGGCTTTGACCATTGTAAATTGGTTGAGGATTTAGTGCTAATATTTACATTTGGTCAATACAAGATCAACCTCCGAATAGGGCTTGAAGTGAAACAACATCATAAGCGAAGGTTCACTACAGCCCTGTTTATTTATTCTAAGGAGGAATCATGTTAGATTAAAGATTAATCTGAAAAATCCACATAGATCAACCTGGAAGTTTAAAGCACCTTTCAATAATTTAAAAAATGGCCAGCTTATCCAAACTATTGCAAACATAGATGCAAATATCATTGCTTAGATTAAATCAAGTATAACATTGATTCCGATTTTGTACAAATTTCTCATGGACTTTGATGAAAGTGAAGGAAGTATATATATATAAATATAAATAAATATATATATATAATAACCTCTCAATAGTCATAGACAAGGATGCTAGGTTTGGAAGTCACTGTTGGAAGTTGTCACTCATCGCCTAGACTTTTAATTAGACTTTTCACTAGTCCCAAAAAATTCTATAAATGCATTGTTTGACTCCAAGATCTTCTTCATTTGCTTAACTATATTGTTCAATGTTGGCAATATTACTGCGTTTGAAAACAGATACCTGCACATAAGCACAAATAAACGTAAACGCTTGGATGACAAAACAAAGTTTATCATGGATGACTTCAGGTTAACCAAGAAAATTAAAAACTTTTCTTAAGTCCAATTCCATTATATTCCAATATTATCTGCTTCTCTGTCTTTCCAAATATTTTGAACAATGGGATGTGCAATCAAAAACTCTAATGTTGTTTGCTTATGAATGGTTTCGGATTAACCAAAAAATTGAGAATCGCCAAGACAAACTTGACGGTTGCCAAAGTTTACAAATTTTGATTGCACATTTCTATTGTTTTAAAGATATGGAAGATAGAGAAATTATCAAACAGATGACATTGGAATCTAATCAATATGAGTTAAAAAAATTTTCTTTATCAACTTGAATGCATCTTATTAATGACATGGTGCATCAATGACATATGCACGATGAGATGATGCGCTCACAATGTAATTGGCAATACAATACATACTTAAGAAAAATGTTGTGTTTTTTATACAAGATCTTGCATGAATTTGCAAAATGTTTGAAACCATCAAATATTGTTTCTCTTCATATATTTGTCTCATCAAATGAATGTATTGAGAAAAATTTGAAACGATTCTCAATATCCAACAAACTAAATTGCGATGAACATTAGAGTCTCATTATCATGCAGGTGTAAAAACATTTACATAAAATTTGCCAAACGTCGATGAATATATCATTCAAATGCATTATCAACAATGCAGAATCTGCTTCAACGTCGCACAACATCATAAAAATCATACTGAACATTCAATTTAGATGATTCTGGTGTTAAGGAAAGCAAAAAACTAATTACAGTGATAGTCAAAATTAGTGTTTGAGATGAGAAATTTATCACACATGTGATTGCGAAGAGTGATCATTCACGTGCTTTGAATGTTATTTCAAGTATCAAGAAGTAGTTCAAAATCATCTATGATTATCGAGCTAAAACTTGGCAAAATACATACTCATACCAATTACAACATAATTGTCAAAAATTGCAATTTCATCTTCAACATATTTAAATACAGATTTTCATATTGTGATTGTGCAGCCAAATTCTTAAATTCATCCGGATCATCAAAATATTTTGTCTATATCATTTCATGTGCATCATTTTTTCATCAAATGCTACCATGAAATTTCAATCTCTTGATCGAAAAATCATTAAGTATTTCAAAATGGGCTTTTGTCGTGCTCAACTAAATCATCTACTGTCCGAATAAAACCTCTGGCAAATGAATGAATGTGCACTTGGTTGTCAAAGTTTTGATTAATGATCATATATATTTGCGCAACGTACTTGATTGGGTCAAGATTGCATCAGCTGATACCAAGTAGAATTTGATTCAACGGTGCTCAGTCAAAGCCAATTGTCTCCTTAAATCTCATCAAAATATTTGTATCTATCAATTTGCTCTTGTGTTCAATTCAAGCTATTGTAATTAGTGAAACTTTTGCAAGAAATCTGACAGTGTGAGTTTTTTCACAGCGTTATTGAATATTGATGACGCAAATATTGAATAAATTGTTGAAGGTTTAATTTAACTATATACTTCGATGCTACTCACATGACAATCTTGCTATTTGCTTTAACCTAACAAACTGATGCAATATATCTCAATTATTGCTTACTATATTTGCAATTACTAGATTCAAGATTAAATTTTTTTCCTAAAGATTTTATGAGATTTTAAATATTGATTCTTCATCATATTTCTAATGACATATAATAATAAATCTGTAGAATTTAAATAATAAATACTGCAATTTAAATCTGAATATTTTTAATAAATTTTTTTATTTTTTTTGTTTACATAAATACAAGGAAATTATATTTAAAAAATAATAATTATTGCATTTATATTAGAATTTTGATGAAGATGTGATTTTTTTTAACAAGATAAAACTTCAAAGAAATTATTACAATAATATGTATCTTTAATTAAATATTAATAATTTCATCCTATTTTAACACATATAGATTTTTTTTAATTTAGATATCAGTAATATATGTAAAATTTCTATTTTTAAATATTTTAGTAATAATATTTTGTAATTTTTTGTGACAAGAATGATGTCAAAATTTCCTGATAATGATTTCATGTGGTGATGGACAATGTTTAATTTTTGATGTAGAAAGTAATACTAGAATCACTTATTCCCATATTTTAAAATTTATAATTTTCAATCAGATCAATCAATTTATTTATGAGTCTCATTTAATTTGTGTAAAGAATTACATCAGTTATCAATTAATGTTAGTTAGCTTAAGCATAGTTAGTGCATTTAACTTGTGAATAACCGAAATAGCTGTTTGTATCGTGTAGGAGACACTATTGACTCCACCTTTGGTCTATAAATATCACTTTTATAACTTCCCGTTTCTTTTTGTGTGCAAATCTAGTTCGGTTTCCAAGGGGAAAAGAAGTTAAGTTAGTAGAACATCCATACATGAGAAGTGCCAACTCATGAGATAACCACTGGAAGTTATTCTTTGGAGTTCAAAATGTCTGCAGTGAATGTGTTTACAGGTTGTTTATATGTCATAAAGTCGGGTGAGCTAATATTCAGCTCACACGTATGCTCCACAGTTCCGCACTTTTGGTCAAATAGTTGCTGCGAGGTCGAGGAGTTGACACATTCTGCACAGAGCCAACGAGAGAAACGAGCGTATAATACAAAACATGCGATACAAGTAGCAGCAGACTCTGGACGACTTCAGAAAGACCTCTCCATTCTCCTGTGGACAACATAGTTCAGCAGATCGTCACTATAGCCTTCACATCTCTCGGCGTTCGGATGACTTTTTCGATCTGAGCTGCGCTCAGTAGCTTTTGCCGAATAAGGAGGTATCATCCACAGATTCCACACTGAAGAAGATGCGATTGACCTTCAGCTGCTCCTCCAGTCAAGTCTTAAGTCTCCATCGAGGAAACACCGGGTGAGTGCCGTGAAGGTGATGCAACCGATGTGATCCGATCGTGCTCTCGCGTCTTCAGTCCAGCAGCAGCCGCCATGCTCGTGCTCGATGTACGGGGTCGGACAAGACCAATACAAGTAATCAAATGAAACACCAAGTGACATGCGTCAAATGCTCCGATTCCAAGCATTTGATCTTGCTCATCAAAATCACAAAATAAAGATGGATCGCAAAGTAAGTAAGGCACAACACCGTGCAATAGGAAAAATCGCTGAATCCAGATCCAGAAGGAAGATATTTCAAACAGTAGCCATACGACACGACCTGAAGGGCACCAGATACTTTGTGGCTCCGAGGAACACAGGGCAATATTACTTTCGGCGCTTATTTGGTAGAGGCAGCGAAGTCTCCCTCGGACTCTCCGGACCCAGGGTTTGTTTGGCCCTCTCCAGAGTAGAGCTCCTTTCTGCTCACGCGTAGCCGTATTAAATGAAATTAATTGAAATTCAGACTGTACGGCAACGTCACATCTACGGCATCGTTGTGTGAGAAGTCAATAATTGACTTCTGGCACAAGGCAAGCGATATGTAAATGCAACAACGAGCTGCAGTTCCTCATGTGCAGCTCCTCCTGATCTTGTGAATCTCGACAACACTCCTTACAAGATAATCCGTAAAGTTCATTCTCTCGGTGACGACCTACAGACTTGCCCAAAGTCCAGGAGACATACAAATCTGACAGCTGAGCTCCGTTCGTATCGTTCCCTGCACCGATAGATGGCTGAGGCTGCAAGTCGGGGTGTTGGCTCACACAGGCGAGCGGTTCTTCCGGATATCCTTTACAGATGCAATGATGGCTATTTTTCACCAGAGGAAAGGACAATGGAAAGAATGCGATCCATGAAAAGGACATCGACAAAGTGGAACGTGGAGGAGTTTTCGATGGTGTGCTCACCTCGAGAACCAGAGACAGGAATTCGAATGTATTCACCTGAATTTTATGCAGCGAGCGCCGTGGGAGGGCTTCTGGCCTGCGGGCTCACACACGCAGCCATGACTCCTGTGGATGTCATAAAATGCAACATGCAAATCAGTCCGTCCAAGTACACGAGCATAAGCCGAAGCTTCGGGCTTGTTCTTAGAGAAGAAGGTGCCAGGGGCATACTGCGGGGCTGGGCACCAACGTTGATCGGCTACAGCCTTCAGGGTGCCAACAAGTATGGCTTCTACGAGTTTTTCAAGAAATACTACTCAGGTAATTCATGGAACATCTGTCATCTTGAGCACAATTGAGCACATGCTTGGTCGCACACTGTTTCATCACTTTGGATTCTAGGGAATGAACACGGAAAGCAGCCAATTAGACGACAGTCGGTTGAATTATCTCGGTTGAAAACGTTCTCGCTGCTGTTCGTGACTTGATCGCCACTGCTGGTCGATCGTGTGCTTATCAATCAGTTACAGGCGAAATGCTGACTTCAAGCTGTGAACTCGTATGCCGTCGCAGATTTGGCAGGGCCTGAACGAGCTGCGAAGAACAAGACGCTGATTTATCTCGCAGGCGCAGCATCGGCAGAAGTCATAGCGGACGTGGCTCTGTGTCCATTCGAGGCCGTGAAGGTGAGGATACAGACTCAACAGGGATTCGCGAGGGGGCTCACAGATGGTGCGCCTAAGATATGGGCGCAAGAGGGCATTTCCGGGTTCTACAAAGGGATCGGTCCCCTCTGGGGCAGACAAGTTCCATACGCGATGATGAAGTTTGCCACCTTCGAGAGCACGGTCGATGCCCTGTATAAATATGTGGTGCCGAAACCCAAAGCAGAGTGCTCGAAGCTCGAGCAGCTGGGAGTGAGTTTTGTGTCGGGGTATGTGGGAGGTGTAGCGTGTTGCATTGTTTCTCATCCTGCTGACAATCTCGTCTCGTTCCTCAACTCCTCGAAAGGAGCGACGGTGGCCGAGGCTGTGAAGCAGATGGGCTGGGTTTCTCTTCTGACCCGCGGCCTCCCTCTGAGGATCGTCATGATCGGCACTCTGTCCGGTGTGCAGTGGGGTATTTATGATGCCTTCAAGCTCTCCCTCGGTCTGACTACAACCTCTGGCATCTCCACGAACGCTCAAATTCAGTGATCGTATAGCTTCTGTAAACAGGTCTGCCGATTCTTTGTATTATGTTTATAGGCTGAGTGTATTTGGATGGTAAAATAGTGCGTTATGACAAAACTGTGCGTCCCTTGGACCATGGAGTTCGGATTGAGGCCCGCCCCACAAGCCTCAAGGTGCGGAGCAGCCAAGCCTACGTATTGCCTTCGCCCTGCCTGTTCGGAAAACTACAGGTTTTGGATACTGAGCAGGATGATCTTTCACGTGCACCAGCATTCAATCTTGCCTTTAGTGGCTGCAGGAGATAGAAGGTCGATTAAAATTAGCCAAATATCTGACAAGCTTGTTCCTACACGAATCCCTCAAAGTTTTGATAGAGAGTGCCTTTAGAACGAAGAAGAAATGGAACGAGGCGGATCTACTCCAATCAATGATCTGATCCAAGACTTGCTAATCCCGTGTGGACGAGACTCTGCACCGCAAGGTGTTGGGTCGTATGTAATGTTCAGAATTTTGATCATTCAGATGATGGTTGACGATTCATTTGCTGGAAGTCAGAATAACCACATCAGCTTCCCTTTTCATTCTATACATACAGAGCACGCTAATTTGTGCATTTCTGTTGAGTTTGAAAGATTCTCATAAGATACTGTGTCTCAGTTACAAGGATTACTGAATCTTGAAATCTCCGAAATCCTTCAAACACCAGAAATACAAAACATGTCACTACCCTCGCCTCGAGCCTGACATACTTTTGGAGTGAAGCGTGTAGTAGCCAAATTGGAGTTGTTGACAGATGGTACCATGTTCAGATTAGAAAACAGCCTCTACAATCGGAACAAAAATGTCGTTTACCGCTGCACACGGAAGAAAACCGTCTCTACTGCTAAAATTCATTCTCTACTATTTGAAACATTTTGAGTTACAGTCCGAGACCTGGTCGTGACCGTGTCTACTTGGAGCCAGGGGCGGAGCCAGGATTTTTCTGGGGGGGCGCTCCGCCAGGTATTTCTGTAGCGCCGCAGGCGAAAATATTTCTCGACCGCGTTTTCACGATCTGTAGCTCAGAATCTGAAGACCCTTCCTGGGCTTTGGGGGGGGGGGGGGGGCTACTACAGCTACAGCCCCTGTAGCTCCGCCACTGCTTGGAGCCCACTTTTCTTCGATTTTTTCTCTTCAGATTCGCTGCAGCTGGCCTTGGGAATGTCTCAATTGATATTACACACCATTCCAAAAGAATTCGACAGAAATTAGTATAAGGGATGTCTGAAATGTGTGTGATCCCGGACGTTGTTTTCATGCTGGTGTTAAGAAATCCACTTGTGTGTGAGAAACCTATATTAACAATGCAGTGTTCTGTAGCAACCTCTCTCCCTCTCAGTAAAGACCCAGATACAGAACTTTCAAGAGGAAGAAATGAAAGGATATACGGTAGCAATAATAGCAACAACTGATCGGGTTTGTCCGGAGATAAGAGCAATGCATTTCAGCCGCGGGTATGGTCCAAGATGAATCTGTTTTCTGTCCTGCACGAAATGGACGAATTATGTTGATGAATATTGCAACCGACATTTCCAACATCAGAATCAGGGCAGAGCTGATGTTGAGCTGATGCATTGCGGGAAACATAATTAGGCCAATCAAAGTGAGGTTGAAAGTTTAAATCATTCCTCTGGCATGACAAGGGTGCCTTAAACCCCCTTGTTACAATGTGGGGTGAGAATTGCACATACGCACAATGGATGAGTATATAAGGCCCGTGCAGGAAGGGAGGCCATATATTTGTTATTAACATGTAAGAGGGAAGGTTGTGATATTTTTCTCAGAAATAGAAGTAGCTCAAACCCCTCTCCTAATACGTGGGAAGCGTTCTCAGAGTTTCATTTCAGCTTTGCATTTCTCTACAAGTACTTGCTGACCATTTTGGTATCGGTTTATTACATCTGTCGTCAGAGAGTGAAATCTTGTGAGCTTGCCATATACATGCAATCATAGCACATGTGGCTATATATTTCTTCGTGTCAAATAGAGTATATTTTCACATATTTAGTCAAGTTCATGACATGGAATATGAAAAATTTAAATTTATTTAAACTTCTTTTCTTGAAATATATTTTGAGGGCACATTTTTCATACATATTCTATTGGCAGCATTTCGGCATAATTCTAATAAATTTCGTCTAGAAAAGTTTAAGTTCTTTACATTTATTTCATGATTATTTAAATAAAAATATACAATAGCATTGTTGTTGTAAAGAATTATAATGAATTAAAGTATGTATGGTTGAATAATCTCAATATTGATACTTACATTGATGTCTACATATTATCAGAAAGAAAATAGTCATATGATTGATAGGGTAAGTATATTGATACTCTTAGTAAGCGTTTTACTTTCAATATTTTTTTGTAGAATATTGAATATGTACATTCACTATTAAATCATTATCATAGTTTTGAGATCATGTTACATATCATAGATAAGACTTTATGGCATTGAAATGTAAGACTATTTGTGATATTATATTAATATACTATCTATGAAAGTACAAATTTGTCTCAAAATGCCATTTCCTCACTTTTTACGTATGATGCTTTGGGAAAAGATATATTTCATGCTTTTTTCTTAATAACAGTTGTCTACATATTATGTTTCTCTTTTGAATACGTTGAGAAAATAATATATGGCAGAACTTATCTCCAGAGAAGCAGTGCGAAGTTGGAGGAGTTTAATTCATGACGGACACTGACGGAGTTGAATTTTTCATTTGAAGTTGGAGGAGTTTAATTCATGACGGACAACTGACGGAGTTGAATTTTGAGAAGAAAAGTGTCTAAGAAGTTGATCAAATATCTACAGAACGTTACACTAATAGCAAAAGCCTTTGCAGTGGCTTCGCAGAAAGTGCTTCCCCCATATAGTGGAAATTTTATGCTATTCATATGCACCTCGCAGTCAACAAATATCACACCGCTACTTCCCTCGGCTGCAATGGTCACTGATGATTTGTTGTTGGGTCGAGATGCAAGAGACATAACCCACACTTCCCACACAAGTTGGACATTGTCCAGGTTGAACTTTGTTAGTGAACATGTCGCACATTCAGGGTCTTCCGGAACTCTTCCTCCGACATATGCATACATCTCAGTCATCTACATATATCTCTGGGGATTGATCATTAATTAAACAGACGGTATTCACTGGAAAGTGTTACCACAATGTCACCAAGAAATATATACTTGTGCTATGATTGCATTTGTATGTCAAGCTCACAAGGTTTCACTCTCTGCTGACGGATGTAACAAACTAAGACCAAACTGGTCTGCAAGTACTCGTAGAGAAATGTAGAGCTGAAATGAAACTCTTAGAAAGTTTCCCACGTAGTGGCAGGGAGGTTTGAACTACTTCTATTTCTGAGAAAAATATCCCAACCTTCCCTCTTAATTGTGAATAACAAAAATGTTCCTCCCTTCCTGCACGAGCCTTCTATACTCATCCATTATGCGTGTATGCAATTTCCTCCCACATTGTAATAAGGGGGTTAAGACACTCTTGTCATTCAGGAATGAGCCAAACTTTCAATCTCACTACGATTGGCCTAATTATGTTTCCCGCAAGACCTTTACTCACCACGGATTTGAAATGGTGTAAAACCGGAGGGCTCTTACTTGAATCCTCTCAACCTTTTAAATTAATTATGGTCAATCAAATCATGGACTCTCTTTCCATGTGATTCTTAGTGAGTACATGCACTTCTCTCCCTCCTAGTAGCAAAATGTTTGAGACTTTTGTCTAGTTAGAGAAATGACTCAATCTTTTCTGATGATGACTAGTTGAAGATGTTTTCCCTCCCATATTAACCGCGTGTGTTAATTAATACCGCTTCTTTCTTAGCGTAAATAAAGATGAATTGTGCGTTCAAATCATTCTTATCGTTTATAATTTTCTATCGCAATACTTGAATGTTCGTTAAAATTAATCCCACTTTTTCAATACCAGTCCTATTATATAACAAAAATGTATATTCCTTAAAGCTGAAAATGAAATTTGCTGATTCCGTGTCATTTCTTTTGAATTCTGCGTAATTGATTTAACTACTCTTTATAATATTTCGTGTGACATCCAGTTATAAATCAAATAACAAGCTCAGCTCCATATTTATTATAATAGGATTCTTTTGTGATACACATTCAAAATCATCGATTGAATAAAAAATCAAAACTAACTTCGTCACATAGTATATAGAAGTTCAAGCTGAAATTTAAATTTATTATTATTTTGTTGTTATAGGATGAAAGTGTACTACTAGTACTGAAGATTCTAGTGAAACTTACTGGAGAGAATGGAGTCATGAACGAAAAGCCCTTACGTGGAGTGCAAAATCTTTACTTCTCAACCTTCACAAGACATACCAAGTTATAGTGGCTTAGAAGAAACAAGGATTTTTGGAGACGTAATGGTTCTCTCAAGATAGTGAGCATGAGGTTGCCACTGTGAATGTGAGTCTTACCAATCTTTCCCTTCGCGAAGATCAGAAAATATTTGGAATTGTGGAGTTGCGTTTTAACTTCGAGCCAGAGATGTGCATCGGAGAAACTTGAATCAATTAGTTCAGGTGTTTGCTCCGGGGGTTGAAAACATCTTTGGATGGAGACAGATCTTCCCTCTAAATTCACAATTTGATATTGAGTAGTCAGCTTCAAAGTGACCATCTACAATAAAAAATGCACATACCATGAGAGCAACTGCAGTTGTCGTTTACAAGAATTCGGCCCATTACGGCAATGAGAAGGGTAAGAGGCGTTGACTCAATGGATACCAGGCAGGACACGCAGAACCTGTCGACACTACATCTATGAGGGGATAGACTGACACCTGCTCGGCATGTATCAGGTGGGGAAGAGAGCGCTGATTACACAGTTTCCACCCAGGCAGATAGATGATACATACCAAGTCAAACGGACCGAAAATCTTGCCAATGTGACGAAGCTCCAGCCGGCGGAGGAGCCATGGATTCGACAAGGACGTTAGTAGTGGGATTTAAAACGGCCTCCCACGTGAGTCGCTTTTCCTGCTAAAAATGACAACAAGGTAGTCGGTCACTGGAAATGAATCTAGGATTGCCAACCAGAAGGGCTAGGGTTGGGCTGGACGTGTTGAAACCCACAGGCGCCACTCCTGACATCCACTCCCCTCTGTCCGTCCGTCCCTCCCTCGTTGCTCCCTCGTTGCTAAGGTGCAGGTGTAAGCTAGCTGTCTTTGGCATTGTCGTCGGATTGAAGGGATAATGAAGAGCATATCCTACAATAATTCCATCCTATCCCCATCTACATACATGCGCAGCAAAACGACTTCCGCCATGAGTTCGGTTCAGTCACCATCCCCGCGGAAAGCCGACGTTCAATCGCCAATCTCCAGCATCATGCCCGTTCTCGAAGGTAGCTGCGCGGGTGCTCGTTATAGAATTGCATGTCGCGAGATGACAGCTCGGTTCAGATCGCACAGCGACGTCGACCAATCATGGTCCAGCCAGCCCAGCCAGCCAGCCAGCCACGAGCCGAGCCACGCTATTTCAGCCAATATCCAGATCACTACAAGTTACAGCATCACAAACCTACAACACAAAATGAAGAATCTACTAGGGCACACTCGCTCCCAATTTCACTCTCCTCGACACTCCGGACAAAATCGTGCGCTCTATCGGCCTTCTCCACTAACACCTCGAAAACCACAAATTCCAATCTCTTTGCATCTATGACAACATTTCCAAGTTTTGAAGGATACAGAAAAAAACGGATCCAAAATACAGGATCTACCACTCTTACGCTCAAAACTATGACGAGAAAAAAGCAATGCAGCTAGCCGCGAGAGATGTTTCATGTAAAGTATGACTGAGCCTGGAGCCTTGTTATCACCATTAGATGATAGGGTGCACGCAGGGTTACACCCGGCAATTTTTATAGCCAGAAAAAATTCTTAGTAACGAGTTACAATGCAGCTTCCCGCAATACATGTGACAAAACATCGATGTGTTGCTGTGAACCCGAGCCACCTCTGAAAGAATGAACTACGACAGAGCAGAGCCGAAAGTGTAATAAAGATAGGAACTCACTTATTATGATGCTATTTGAATGTATCAAAGACTTACTATACACTCCACGGCTTGCAGATCTAAACTGAGGGGTCTGAAGAAACCGAGGTTATCGGCCAGAGAACGACAGGCAGCGATGGCTGACAGACCGGCTCGTTCTATTCAATCAGTCCGTCGGTCAGGCAATCCCCCGAGCATTCCCTACATGGACCGTATACAAAGACCGCAAAGAGCGTAGAGACCTAAAATGCTCCGTTACTGCTTCAGACACATTACATTACCCTTTGTAATCGACGCTCTGCTGTTACCTGGCCTCCCCTGCCTGCTGCATTGCGGGGATTCCAGTACTGACTCTCCGCTGCTGAAAACCATGAGAAAGGCAAAAGGTTGGAGCTTAGGCGTCGGCCTTGGCCCACTTGAGAGGCTTGACGACCTCCCATGTGAAGTCGGGGTCGCTGCGCCCGAAGTGGCCGTAGGCGGCGGTCTTCTGGAATCTCTTGTTGCCTCCGCGCTTCAAGTCGAGGTGGATAGAGATCATACCGGGGCGGAAATCGAAGGTCTCCTTGATGATCTGCAAGATCTCTCCGTCGGGGATCTTTCCCGTGCCGTAGGTGTCGACGAACACCGAGAGGGGCTCGGGGACTCCGATGGCGTACGAGACCTGGACAATGCACCGGCGTGCGAGGCCAGCGGCGACGACGCTCTTGGCCGCCTGCCTGACAATGTATGCGCCACTCCTGTCGACCTTGGTCGGGTCCTTGCCGGAGAAAGCACCTCCTCCGTGGGCGCCCCAGCCTCCATAGGTGTCGATGATGATCTTACGCCCGGTGAGACCGGCATCTCCGTGGGGACCTCCGATCACGAAGCGGCCCGAAGGGTTCAGGTGGAAGATGGTGTTCTCGTCCAAGTACTTCTCGGGGATGACGGGCTTGATCACGTGCTCGCGCAGGTCCGCGGCGATCTGGTCGTTGGTGACGGTCTCGTCGTGCTGCGTGGAGATGAGCACGGTGTGCACTCGGATGGGCACCATTGCGCCTCCCTCGTTGCGGTACTCGACGGTGACCTGGGTCTTGCCATCGGGCCTCAACCATCCGCAGGTGCCATCCTTCCTGACGTCGGTCAGGCGGGCGCCGAGCTTGGTGGCCAGGACGTGGGTCAGGGGCATGAGCTCCTCGGTCTCGTCCGTGGCGTACCCGAACATGTGACCTTGGTCACCGGCCCCGATCTCCTCGGGCTTCTTGGTGAAATGACCGTGCACTCCCTGGGCGATATCGGGGCTCTGCTGCTCGATGTTCACCAACACCTTGCAGTGATCGGCGTCCAGACCCACATCGGCCGAGACGAAGCCAATCTCGCGGCAGGTGTCCCTGACGATCTTCTCGTAGTCGATCTTCGCCTTGGTGGTGATCTCCCCGAACACCATCACCATGTTAGTCTTGGTGCAGGTCTCGCAAGCCACCTTGCTGTCGACATCCTGCTCCAGGCACGCATCCAAGACGGCGTCAGAAATCTGATCGCACATCTTGTCGGGGTGACCCTCGTTCACGGACTCGGAGGTGAATAGGAAGGTCTCCATTGCGCTCGAACTGTCTGTCGATCGACCCGAGAGTGAGTGTCCCTTTCCAACCTGCACCGCGGGAGGATCCTCGACTCCTCTCCTGCTGCTGCTGCTGGCAAATCCCTCCGCGCCGCAGCTCGAAAGGCAGACACTGCACTTCCTCTAGTGCTCGGACTGCAAACCCCGTGAACGAACGGAAACGAATGGCGTACAGAGGAAGAACGAGGCGCCAGCAAAACATATATACTGCCCCTCGCTCGCCCGGCCCCCTCGCCCTCCCTTCCGCGTCGATCCGCCCACCCCCTTCCCCCGGTCCCGCACGACCGCGACGGGGTCACGACGGCCGTCGCCCTCCGCCGGATGTTCACTCTTTATCCACCCCCGCGCTCCCGCTGATTTAGCGGCTCCGCCACCGAGGTGAGCGCGTTTTGGGGCCGGGGGGCGATCGAGCGCGGGTAGTGGGTGGTCCCTGATAAAGCTCGGCCGGAAGGACTGAGGAGCCGGAACAACTGTGAAGTCGTCGCGCGGGCGGGGGTTTGTCTTGTCTCGTGAAAATCTTCGCATGGGACAAATGGACAGAACGGGGGCGCGCACGCCTCACCACCGACGCAAAGAGGCAAGCGAGCCCAGCCGACGGACCGCGAGCCTCGGAAGCTTTGCACGTCACGACTGGATCAGATCCCCTCCTTCTCCGTCGATGTTTTGTGGATTTTTGCGGCCGACGAGTTTCTCTGTTTCCGGACCCGGATCGGATTGTCCGATCATGCTCGCACTTCCTCCCTCGTCTCTCGCTTCGCGTCACGCTTGTCGTCACTGCCTCGCTGCAGAACCTAGTTGGGACTGATTGATTGACTGACTGACTGACTGTGACTGTGACTGTGACCGACGGCGACCGACGGTGATTGACGCGACTCGGTGTCGCAGAAGCCTATCTTCGAGCTTCGAAGAAGGCTTCAGAGTCCTGACTACATAACGCCATCGACGCGATCGCAGGTGAAGAAAGATACCGTCTTCGTAACTGTGGTCGCCACTGCGCCGTGGTGCACTTGTACTGCGGGCGGCAACTGTCCTGCTTCCTTTTCTGGCCTAGTCTCAGTCAGTCCCCAAGTCTTGGAGGGGACACCACTCGGTCGAAAGGAGGGGTGGTACAAGGCTGTACTTACCGCTCACCATGACGCAGCGTTGACGCTGTCACTGATTCCAAGCCCTCTCTGCTTAGGGTTTGTGTGCCCCGGACTCTCTTTCCATGATGCAGCCAACGAACCAACCAACCAACTAACGAACGCACGGGATTAAGCTCCGTCCCTTCTCCCAATTTGGTTTTGCAAATCTATTCCACCATGTTCCATAAATTCTCTCCGCTTTCAGAATTTTTCTCCTCAAATCAAACCCAAAAGATTAATTTTCGAATGGGTAGGGCAGTCCGGCCCCTACGGCAGAATAGGTTGATGACCGGAGTTGAGAGAAGTTAAATCTTGGCTATGGAGTCATTAGCCAGGGATTAATTTCTGAGAGAGGTCAAGGCTAGCAATGCGTCGCCGCCCATCGAAAGTGCGTGATTAGATGCAGCTCGACTGCTCTAGGTTGGGTGAGAATTTGCGCTTTCAAACGGTGCTGGTTTATCCGATCGACAGATCGACACTGATTCCACAGCGAATCAATGAATGACCCACACTTACTACAGCATGCACGCCCATGCCATTTTGACCCCGTGAGACTCGCAATAATGGCAGGTTCATCTATGCTCCCAACACACGGCGTACTCGGTATCCAGCAGCTGCTAAATATTACTAGTACATATGGGGGGGGGGGGGGGGGCGAGGAATGATAATCTCGTATGAACGTCAGGACAATGGTTAGTTGGGTGAAAGTAGCTAGAGCATAATAAGCTCGTGAAGTGACTGACTGGAGTCGAAACATTCATGATTAGTTTTGACTCTTAGTCCAGACATTGCTCCCCAACTGCTTTCCCCTTAGAGGATGGAGCCACACCACTTTAGATGCAGTCATAGCTTTTCTTTTCTGTCGGCCTTTACAGGAACTCGTCATCGAGACCAAGTGATGGTCGTTTGGCCTCTCACATCAAGAGAACCAACATCGATTGAACTCATGAGGTCGTTCGGCTTTTCACATCAAGAGAACCAACATCGATCCAACTCATGAGCAACTACAAGTTTCTACAGGTAAAAACTAGGGAAGGACGGCATTATTTGCAACTCAGATGTGGTAAGCTCACCGAAAATTCAAGGTCTAAGACCCTTAAGCTTTGCAAGGACCACAGCATTAGGATGTACCAAATGTTGAGGAACTTCAGTAAATGTGCCGCTCTTCAGCACAGTAATGAAGCCCTGATAGATATGTCGAGTTGAAGAAGCCATCACCTTGAGGATCAAGGATCAAGGATAAAGGATAAAGCACAAGCACAACCTATCTGGATATTCGAACATTGCGGCGGCTTTGCCAACGGAGGTCTCGCAGTTGCTGGGGCATGCTGTGTCAGCGATTCTTGGAAGCCTCGGTGCACGACGAACTTCAGGCTGTCATGTACATTCCAGCACTATAAAAGTCCATGAACATGGACACTGGTTTGTCCCGGCTATGCCCTCCCCTTCCCCTAACTTAGTCAAATGAAGTACAAAGTGAAATAACCAAAATAGGATGGGAAGACCCTACGAAGTCCCATTCTCCAAGGCAGCACATCGATGCACCTTTTTCGCCCTTTCCTCGCAATTTGGGGTTTTCTAGATTTTTCCGGTGTCTGAGTGGACAACTGTATGATGTCAGTTCTTCCTGCCTTTTGAAGTACGGCCTTAGCACTTGAAGAGATTTTAGCAGCCAATAGACTTTTTTTCATTCAAGCTTCAAGATTTCGAAGAAGTTGCAGCTAGTGGTACAGTTATAGTACCACTAGCTGAGTTATGGTCATCGGAGCTTCTTGTCTTTTAATGTAGGAAAGAATGGTCCGGTCCGATAATTGATTCTTCATCCAAACATGGATGGCATAGTTCATGAAGGGAACCCGGGCCACCTACATCTTGAACTGTGTTGCCAATTTGAGAGATCTCCAAGTACCTCTGTCATGAATGCATTTTTGTACTATCATCCATGTGGGTCAACAAGCTTAATATTTTGGACAGAGGCATGAATGGAGAATGAATACTACCACTGAGAATTTAATGACAGTAATGCACACTTTGGTCATGGTAAATGTCGAGAGAACCTCCTCAACTGTAGGGAAGGATGCGAGTTCAAAGCTTTGGAAATTTTAGGATCAGAGAAGTAATCACACTTTCACCATCATTTCGATTTCTACCAAAATGGTGGACTTTCACATTCTTTCTGCGCACCTCATACAGCATGTCACAAAGGACTCGAACGTTCTCTGGATTATGCCAGGCGGCCTTTTTCCACTCCATTTTTGCTTATCACTATAACTATAACTATACTAAGCCAAGAGAATCTGTCTTTCATGACGTTGCCTTGGGCTTGCCCCTGCTGCTAATGAGTTTGTCGGATGTTCTGTAGGTCTATGACATTGGTTTTGCCATCTGTGTTTCTTTGAGCTTTGAGCCGTACGTTTTGCTCCAAGACCTGTGCATTTTGAATCATGCTTTTTCTACAGTACGCACTATTTCCACTAATTAATTTGACCGGAATCACCGCATTGGCTGGTAACTCAGAAAGCTGCTTTGCACTCAGAGTCAGGAATACGGTGAGAATTCAGATTATGGACAGGGTGTCAATGGATGATCGGAGGGAGCCATGATAACATTCATTCTTTTCTCCTCACACACGATGTTGATCATGAAACATCTCCCTCAAATTAGAAATGGCGTTCAGCCTCTCCTGCGGCCGTCTATAATTGCATTCTCCCGAATGCTGTTATAGTTCTCCGTCACGATCACCAAACCCTGGATAGAGCTGATTTCTCATCTATAATTTTGCATTAGCATGATGATCATCAATCGTCAATGCGGGCTGGAAGAAGTTGATTTCGGAATGGAGAGCCGCATGCATGCAGCAAGGAAGCGAGCAGTCCCTAGAAGATGATTGAGAACAAGAAGTTGACGACGATGAAATAAATCAATGAATGAAGGGAGATTAATAATAAATCAATAAATAAAGGAGGGGGGTTTTGGGGTGGGGGTTGGGGAGGGGTTAAACTTCCATCGTTTTCACCTTTTTTATTTTGTCAATAATGTTCTTGTTTTACTGAGGATAGGTTGTCTTCAACAACGACAACGAAGACAGAGTATGATAGGTTGGGGGAGACCGAGCAGTTATGAGACAACACGGTTGTGGGGAATGGTGGAATCAAGGTGGCACACACTGGCAAAAAGGAACCCAAAGTGCTCCTCGCTTTTGGGCTGGAGGGGGCCCAGGGCGGAAAAGATGATTGCGAAATCCTTCTCCACAATGACTCCACATGAAACCACAACCTCTACGCCCGCAACTGCAGAGGCTGAATATTACTCCGCATACATATCATGTTGCAGACAGACCTTCCACCCAAATGGACGACAAACTGTAAAGTGACTAGCTCGACTCAGGCAGGATTCGGCTAATTGACAAAAGAGCCTCTCTCATCATATCAGGTAATGGATCGATGATGGTCCCAACGGTAAACGATCACTTCATTCCTCTTAGATCAGTCCTGTTCATTAAACCGAATCGTTCTTCGAATCTTCCTGACAATCCCCTGACACCACCCTCAACAACAAGATCAGGGATGGCACAAGATTTATTATTAACTGGTGACCGCTGTGGTGTCCGCGATTATGGTCACCGAATCGTCCTTTGAGACATACATGTGCATCGTGTTTTTCCTATCGGACGTTCTAGTCTCGGATTCAAGAAAAAATATAAATGTCCTGAATTGTCATCCAGCTAAAAAACCCACTCACTAAAATCGACCCTCACTTGAACCCCTCTCTCTCTCTCTATGTATCTCTCTCCGCAAGCAAGCACGGCGAAGGTGCTCAGACGTTTGGACTTCCAGAGGGGATGAACATTGATTTATTCGGATAGTGGCGACGAGTTAAGACTATTCAAATCGAAGAAGGATTCTTAATCCAATCAATTCTCATCTAATCTAATCTAATCGAATCGAATCTATTCCAATTTACTCCATTCTCTGCGTCCCTGTTGGCATGTTGGGGAAGCTCGTGATGCAGGAGTCCAGAGCCAGTCGCAGTGGCGGCCACTACCGTTA